CTAACTATATTATGTTCATCAGTGTCATATAAATCGGGAACTTCTGGAACTTTAAATGCCAGGGTTTGAGAAGCATCTGCATCCTTAGGGATCTCTGTATTTCTGTACCCCTCACTGGAGGTTCCTTGACGTTGGTGAGGAGCTTTTGATCTAGGGAATTGTGTCGTGGGTTCGAAAGGAGATATGATGGTTGAAGATAAACACACTTGTGGATGGTAGCACTATATATTGTCAGACTGTGGTAAGGGAGCCCAACCTGCCGTGCGTTGCCTGGTAGACCTATGCGTGGACTGAGGAAGTTACAGAGGTACTCGCGCACACATGCGCATCACGTGACGTCACACAAACTGGTCCCTAGGCCTAGTAAGAAGTCATGTCTATAAAACATATGGATGGTACTATGATACTCAGATAAGCTATATAACACATGTAAGGGGATCAGCAACTATGCTGACAATTGGCTCTGTGCTCCGATTCCCTGAATTGAGCCTGAATATCCTCCATTCCCCCCACATGCGCTGTATAATCCTGCGGGTTTAGCTCTCCCCCATGATTATAATAATAATGTATTTCTGTAATAATAAGTCGTCCAGTTTTCCAAGTGTTACCAGCTTTCTCCATGACCTTAACACCAACAAGAACATAATTACCCTTTATACTCTGTATTGCATTTTCTTGTGAATATCAAAATGGTATACAATACCGACAAGTTGGTCAGTAAGACACAGGCAACATTTAGGCATCTTTATTCCGAAACGTTTCGCCTACACAGTAGGCTTCTTCAGCAGGCTCCTGCCTACTTTGTGTACTCGACTGAAGAAGCCTACTGTGTAGGCGAAACGTTTCGGAATAAAGATGCCTAAATGTTGCCTTTGTGTCTTACCAACTGTATTTTCTAATTGTTAGGTCTGCGACCTTAGCTCACCTTGATATCAAGCATTTCAACACTTAGGTCATCCAAGTCTTGCCTCTTCTTCGTTTCGAAGGAGCGGTGTTCTCCTTCCATTTTTTTTTTTTTTTTGATGATTTGGACCTTTAGTGAAACGCTGTTGCAAACTTGTCTAGGCGTCTTGTACTGTGTCACAGCAATTCTTGTGACATGCCTCTTGACAATGCTGTCAAGACATTCGCCATGTCCTCTTCAGAGTACTTTTTCCTTGTGGTCTTCCTCTTATACGTGCGCACCATCTTGTAGACAAGAGAAACAGTTCTGTGAAATACTGTGTAACATATAAGCAGTTAATATTGTAAACCGCATATAAATATGATATTTCCCTGGTGAAATATGACATATAAACAGAGTTAATATTGGAGATCTCATATGTTCCTTCATGTGGTCGAATTTGCCCCTTACTACACCCTTATCTATAACTTAATAATTGCTAATTTTCCTGAAGTTAGAATAGCAGCTAACAAAGGGTAGAAGGTGGCCGTTGGCTCAAGCAGTTCTTAGTAAATTCTGGAAGACGGTTCGGTAATTAGAGTACGATTTTTACGCATTCAGAGACTAGAAAAAAGTCCAGCAAATGAAATCATTATTTTAAGATATATATTAGTAATAATTTTTTTTTTTAATTTTAATACAATAATTTATCATAGTAATTTAATTATATAAACCCGGTCTCAGTTGCCTCGTCTTGGTTTCATTTCTCCTACTTACGGAATCAGGGTGGTCATGACGTGGAAAATGTAATGGTCGTATGTTTTATTTTGGCCGTTAGAAAGCATGTCTTCTTTTTGTACGGGGGTTTAAATTAGTCAAAAATATATAAATTCGCCACGTCCAACGTTTGGAAGTTTGTACTATAGCTTTTTTTCACCAGAAGATCTTTCAGTCCAGTGGAAAAACTTTTGGTGAGTGAAACGTATCCTAATGAAAGCTTCTGAACGTTGTTTAGGTGTCTAATATTTACCTTTGTCGGTTTTATATACGTTGTGCGAAACAGCATCAAGAAATAGTTCACGAATTCCTCTTTAGTTTTAGTATTCAGATGATGGTGTATGATATTTGAGGTTATTTACATTAACCTTTAGAGTTGAGACAAGCTAGTCGGGTGTGGGACAGCAGGTGTATACAAGTTATTCTGCTCTCTGTGCTTCCTTTGTTCTCTGTTCAATATGCATATTGCGAGTGGATCGGAAGTGCGTGCTCCGGAATATATTAATGGCGGCCCAGGCAAGACGAGGCTTCTGCACAGCGTAGTAATATACCTTTTATGCTCTAATGGCCCAAGTTCAGTGTTTTTTAGTCGCTGTGGTTGTGTGCCGGTGCCAGGTTTTAATACAAATAATTGTCAAGCGTGTCGAAGGAAAACTAGTAATGGTTGGTTGTATAACTGAAATGATCGTGCCTTGAAGTCAGACATGGAGCAGTCAGAAACTAGTTCTGGGCCGTCCTGGAGCGCTCTGCATCAATGCTCTAATGATATAATTGCTAGCATTATTCATGGAGACCTTGAAGGATTCCGTTATTTGCCCCGAGAGGATACCCGTCAGGATGTCAGTATCTCAGTCTTAGCATTCATTGTTATGTAACGATCCTTTGCTTTCCGGAACTAGGTGTAGAATTTAGCTGGTGTGGTAAATACATTTCCCGATCGAGTTGTAATAATTACCATTAAGACTCACGAAATTGTAATAACACGATTGCAGAAAATCGCTGAACGGGTTAGTGGTTAGCACACTGGCTTGTGAGTTTTAGGGCTCTGCCTGCTATGGGTTCCAGTCCAGTCCTTCCTGTGATTAAATTACCATCAGTGTTGTGTGTAGGAAATAAACCAGTTAACGGGTGGAGGGATTGAACCCATGGCAAGTGAGTCCTAAGACTCACTTGCCATGGGGTCAAGTCCCACTTGTTCCGTGATTTGTTTGCAATTGTGTTATTACGGTTTTGTGAGTCTTGTGCCTTGGAACGTTTAAAAATGTGGTAAATTAGGGTGATATGTTATTAGGGCCTTTATGATTAACAGTGACACGGGGGGGGGGATAAATCAGTATTGAGATTAGCGGATTCTTAACCACTGAAGGGGTTATCTGAATAATACCCATGGCAGGAGACACTGCTGCTACCTGAAGTCACTACTGTACCGTAAATGTAAATAAAATTTGAACCACGTTTCGATCCGCCCTAGACTGTTATCAGGTTATGAGTGGAGAGAAACGTCGTGCAATTTTCATTTCAGACTCATAAGTTAATTTTGTGTTTGTAGCATTCTAGGGTTCTGCAGAGGGTAGGTTTAAAATTCCTAAATTTGTGTTACAAGATAAAAGCTGTTATTCTAACTCGGCTCATTTATTAGCCTTCATCTGGCAATATATTTATTATTATTATTATTATTATTAGTTGTTATTATTGTTATTTGTAGATGGTAACCATCGATCTAGGGAGGAATTTCCATCCTATCATGCGTGAAAGGAAATCCTGTTAATGATACATGTGCAACTCTTGGGTAATTTATGTCTAATTTGTGTCTAATTTATCAACATGTCGGTTCTCTGAACCATTCATCTACGAAATCCTGTTAATAAACGTTTAGCACTTTAGAACGATTACTGGCACTTTCTTTTTGCCAGGAACACGTAAGATAGTAGTCTACTTACATTCCGTATACGTATATGCCTTCATCTTTTACTTTCCTGTGTTTCTCAAAGTTTCTTATTCCTGTGATATTTCCTTTATTATTTAGAACACCTGGTGTAAATAACAAAAAAGGCACAATGCCGTGACTGAAACAATACATAAATAACCCGTACACAGGAGGGAAGAGCTTACGACGACGTTTCAGTCCGACTTGGACCATTTACGAAGTCGCACTAATAAAAAAAATAGAGAAGGAGGGAGTATGTATGTGCCAGCAGACAGGGACGGGAGGAAGAAGAGAAGTAGTGGTAGAGGTAGTAGTAGTGGTAAGGGAGTCAAAGACTATGAAAGAGGAGCACTGCAAGGGAGTTAGGGGCCCACAAAGGGTAGGAGCAAGAACACAGGGAAAAAAGAATAATAATGGACTAAATACCTGAGGCAAAAGAGAGAAAATCCAAAGGAGAAAGAGAAAAAAGGAAAGTGGAAGAGGGAGGAGGAAAAAGAATCAGGTTATGGGATTTAATTTTTATTTATCTATATTGATAACTGATATATACAAGTGGTTTAGAAAAGACAGGTGAACAAACACTAGGACATTAGAAACATTTCGTTGTGGGATCTTGACCATTTCTAACACACAGATGTTAAAAATAATAGAGTATGTATAGTCTTGAAAACGAGGTGTGAGAGACAGGTGGTGCCGTGATGAAAGTGCAGTTGAGGTTTAAAATGGCTTCATGTAACACACATGAGGTCACGTGGTTTGTGTTGTGAGGTAGGGTAGTCTTAGCCTGGTTGAGTCATGTATGCCAGTGTTTTTCAAATTTTGTGGCATCCGGTGCATCGCTGTATGATTCTTATGGCTTTAGCGCTTAGTTATGATTATAATAATAATGTTCCACGGTATTAGTGAAGCTCCCAGGCATCCTTGAAGTCTAGTATCGGGCTCATTGAAGACGAATTGTGCCTTATTCCAACTCAACGAGTGTCCCGGACATGATGATGAATTGTATTGAGGCTCAGATCGTCCTCACTGAACTCAGCCTGAGACGTCGAAGATGCCTGGAAGCCTCACCGACATTAAAACAAAATCCTGGAAGCTACAAAATTTCAAATACTATGGTATACATGATACTTAACCAGGCCAAGCCCTACGTACCTTACAACAGGAATTATGCAACCCCATGGGTTACCACACTATCTTAAAACCTCACTCAAACGTTCATCAGATCATTATCTGCCTTTCACATAACTGTCAAGTCTATAGATAATGTTATTTTTGACTTTTGTATGTTAGAAGTGATGACTGAAACATTTTCTAATGAAAATGTCCAGGCATTTGCTCACATATCTCTTTAAATCATCTATGTAGATTGTTACTTTGAGTATATTTGTTCTGAATATGTATTTGTTCCAACAGCCTGGAAGAAAAATGGAGCAGTGGCAGCAGTGCCCGACGCAGTGAAAGACCATCAGTGTCGTCTTTAGCATCTACAGCATCGCCCTCAGCAGATGAGAGTGACTCTGGTTTCCATGGGTACCGCTCAAGGAGGTACCGTTCTCCTGACGGCAGGTCCCTCGACGAGGTCAGTACACCACCACAAACCTCATACATAAAATATTTTTTTACGGCCATATTCTTGTCATTACCATGTGATCAGTTATGTTACTTATACCCTTCAAGTGTGGTTAGTGCCTTAATTTTGAACGTCTCCTGATCTAAGGACTTGGAGCTTCCCTTCCTGAAGTCAAACCTTATTGTCTCTCATTTCCGAAGTACTGTAGGGTCTTCATGGATTTAGTAATAAATTACATGAAGTAAAGAGGACTGAGTTTGAAGGAACATAATTTATAAGCTTATATAAATTATTTCAAGACATTTATTTATGTACAATCAACTTTTCGGTGAAAAATTTAATCACTATCATCGGGCTTCATTTTTTGAACATAATTTAACAACATACACTATACAATGCACAGTATACAAAACTTTACTAGCCAAGTTGAGAGGAGGTTTAAATATCCTACATGGAATAAACTGTTTACTATCTGAGAAGAATTACAGTATTGCACAAACCATAACAAGTCATTAGAAATAAAAAAAGTCGTTAGCAAAGCATGAGGACATTTGAAAAATAAAGAGACTTAGCAAGAAAAAAAAGCTTTACTCCATCACATAGAATAAGAGAAAACTAGACTTGCCAGTAAATGGCGATAAACTAAAGTTTTATATGAGAGTAAACAAATTAATAGCAGAATCATTGTCATTGAGGCCATGTTTAAGGTTTTTAATATGTAAGCTATAATTCTTAAATACAAAGTATTCTGTTATATAGCTACAATATAAAATTATCTGGATATAACAATTGATTATGTGACTCATAATGAATTCTGATAGCTGAGGAACGAGGTTTGACCAGAGGACAGTATAAGACTTCTCCATGATAGGCCCCTGTGTTCACAAATTTTAGTCGTGAAATTCCAGAAAGCACATCATATATATCCAGTACTACAATTAAAAATAAATTACTTTTACCTTTCTAATTCAAGACTCATTATTTCCAATGTTATTTGATGCATTTTATTGTCAGTAATAGAAAGTAGTAGATAATGTCAGATTTGTTAACTACTGCATCAATTTTTTTTGAATTAACAAACAAAAAAATATATAAAAAATAAAATCATAAGTTTAAAATACATAATGCATTGAACTCAACTTAGCAGTATATGGAAACATTACAGATAACTTTTATATATAAAAAAGATATTGCAAGAAAGTCACTAAATAATTTTTTCTAGCTTTTCATAAGTGTTTACATAATATAATTTAAATAAGATAATTAATAACTTATTTAATCTTATACAAATAAAATAATTTAAAGCATGTATCTAAGCTAATTACATGAACTTGTTTTCTTTAGTCCTTATCAACATTCCATGCATTTTTCACAAGAATAATGTAATAATAATGATATTAATAATTATAAATTTTGTATCATTAACACGAGTAGCCACAATAATTTAAAAGTCCATGGTCATCAAGCTAATTATCAACTTGGTTGTTTTAATTTGTTCCCAGAGAGTCGACTAAACCCAAATTCTGCAGAAAGACCTAAAAACTAATGTTTCCACAGGGGAATAATGTAAATCGGACTTAATCTGATCCATTACCTAAAAATATTAACAAAAAATACATTTTATAGAGAATAACTATAGTTTTGCATACAGAAAGTGATGAATATAAAGAACTAATTTTAATGTATAAATGAACATTTAAATCAATTTTACCCTTATTGAAGACTTTTGTTTGTCAGAACTTGCAGCCTCGCCATACCTTAACACACTGTGTATGCCAGATCAGTTCTTGAAGTTACCGAACCAGCCTCTGCTGGCCTTAAATTCACTAACAGCAGCACTCGCTCCAGGCATGCAACTGCCTTGCCTTTTGCAAATTATCGCCTCCACAGCACTGTCTCCCGCTAACTGTTTTTTGTTGATCTACATCAACAACAACTTCTCAACATCTTCGATGGTTGTCGATCTCTGTTTCGTTAGCAGACTTACCCCTTTCACAACATCAGATTCCTTGATTTCTTTTTTCTTCGCCAGGATGGAACTGATCGTTGATGAAGACTTCCCGTACATCCTGGCGAGATCGACTACACATAAGCCACTTTCATACTTTTTTACAAATTCTTTCTTGAATTCTATCGTATTTCTCACCTCCTTTATCAAAGGGCTGGCACTCAGAACTTTCTTTGGCCCCATGGTGGCTGATTTAGCAGTTGCACTCAATAAACAAGCACAAAAAACAATCGATTATTACGAAATGTTTCCTATGAACGCACAGGGTAATGTTCACTCGACAAGAATCGAAGACAGATTGACTCAGAATGCGTGTATGGGATGCTTTGTGTGGGCATGGGCACACGGACACATTCGGTACAGTGGACGAAAACCAAGGTGGCGAACGAAAACTGAGACGATATTTTGACGAAAAAAGTCGTCAAAAACCAAATTCAACGAAAACCAGGTTTCCACTGTACTAACATGAATATCGAGTAGGAAACTAGCTAAAATTTATTAATGTATTTTATTTTTTAGGCAAGTGAGTCATCACGTGTGCAGGGTGATCGGCTGAATACATCCTGTGATTCTTCAGTAATCTTACGGCCTGGGGATCGCCAGCCTCTTTATGCAAATGCTCCACCAAAACCTAAACGCTTGAACACTTCTCGGGATTATAGCACCTCTCCAGAGCGATCCCCAGAGAGAGACGAAAGGGATCCACGCACTTACACTGATCATGGTGGTGGTGGAAATGGCACAGTTGAGCCACGAAACCCAGATGGTCGAGGCTTACACTATCACCCTCCTGCTGCTGAGCGAAGGACACCTGATGCATATGGCGTGACAGCAGGCGGTGGACGTGGAGATTACGAAGATGTATATGGGGATAGCAATGGGTCAAACTCCGTTCCTCATAGCCCTGTTCGAAGGCCTGAACAACGAGACTCTTTTGCTTCTTCGAGAAGTGGAGGAACAAGACTGTCCGAAGAATTACAGCTTTCAGAGCCTTTAAGGTCCAACTTTTGTCGGCAAGACGATACACTTCCTCGTGTCTCCCACCCAGAGCCTCATCACTGTCGTCACCCAACGGGACCCCCTCGTCCACATAGTGCAGATTTCCTTGACTACGATCGAAGACACGGTAGCAGCAACATGTGGTCTTATCGGCGTGGAAGCGGTGGTGATCTGCCAAGACATGAAGAGACAAGACCGAAATCTTCTGTTGGTCAGAATGAATCAGACCATTGGTCTGAGGAGAACTATGCCCAGAAGATGCGCCAGTCATCACTGTATCATTCACATATGCACAGTAGATCATCTGCTCGTTATTCACCAGCCGGACGAGGAGAAAGTCCTGGGAGTGATCATCACCACTTGCACACTGCTCATGTGGGTGCACCTCAGCGTGTACCACCTGCAGGAGCTGCTACTCCTGACTTATATACTTCACATAAACCATCTACCACCCCAACACCTGCCAGTGCTACTAACAGCTTGCGGCGTGGTGCTGCCCAAGATTTGAAAGAAATTCCAAGACAAGACACTGGCCAGGAACCATGGGGAGAGCTCAGGCAATACTCAAGACGTGCGCCTACACAAGATGGTCGACAAGATCGAAGATTAGATACAAGACAGACTCATCGACAAGACTCCTGTCAGGATCCTCGTCGGGTATACAACCACGAGGATCCTCTCTATAAGCATGAGATTTCACCAAATACTACTCTCACTAGTGTCCCTACTCCACCAGGTAGCTACCCTAATAGTGCATCTCCTAATGGTAGTGTCAACAATAGCTTCATGAGGTCAGCATCAGCAAGGTTACCTCGTCATCCCTTGCAAGATGATATGATGAATACTTCTTTGCCAGATGATGGCTCAGATGGAGACAGCAAGAAGATGCAACAGGTAAGAAAATTAACTTAAGGTAAGACAGTATACAATATCAATAGGTTAAAGTGTCATGTATGAAAATAATTCATTATTAAGAAGTTATGCACAAAAATATGCTGCTTATTATCTCTTTAAGATAAAAATTAATTGTTTTCTAAGATCAACAAATGTCTTTATTAGAGCTCTTTGTATTGTAAAACTAAGAAAAGAAAAACCTTTGGTTAAAAACCAAGCTAGGCACCCACTACTCTCTCTATTACAGAATGATCGACAATCATTTATCTCTCATTAAAACTGTATAGTATACTTCATTCTTTAATGATGTTCAAAATGGCCTAGTACGTTTCTGTTAAATACAGCAATATAAAATCTAATAAATATTTTGTTTTTCTTGACTTAAGTTGTTAACAGTTATCTTTAATAAGTTTTTTATAAATGCTAAATATTATCTTAACAGTTTAGTAAAACAAAAGAAATGCTTGGAACCCTGTATCAGTGGAAGTATATATATATTGCATTATGACTAAGTTTTTCTATGGTGTCTTACTTTCCTTCATTGGGTAATAGTTATCTGTATTGTGTAGCATTTAAGAACATAAGAAAGAAAGAACACTGCAACAGGCCTACTGGCTTACGCGAGGCAGCTCCAATTCTCGTATCGGCTTAAGCCAATGCCTTGACCTAGTGAGGTCAGACACATCACTTAAGGGAGGAGCAGTGCATCTGACCTAGTAGCACAAGCTAGTCAGGTCCAACTCACACCCACCCACACCCACTCATGTATTTATCCAACCTATTTTTAAAACTACACAATGTCTTAACGTCTATGACAGTACTCGGGAGTTTGTTCCACTCATCCACAACTCTATTATCAAACCAGTGCTTTCCTATATCATTCCTGAATCTGAATTTTTCTAATTTAAAGCCATTGCTGTGAGTCCTGTCTATGTTAGATATTTTTAGCACGCTATTTACATCCCCTTTATTAATTCCTGTCTTCCATTTATACACCTCGATCATATCCTCCCTAATTCTATGCCTCTCTAGAGAGTGTAGGTTCAGGGTCCTCAGTCTATCCTCATAGGGAAGATTTCTGATACATGGGATCAACTTTGTCATCCTCCTTTGTACATTTTCCAGTGCATTTATATCCATTCTGTAATATGGTGACCAAAACTGCACAGCATAATCTAAATGAGGCCTAACCAAAGATATATAGAGTTGAAGAACAACCTTAGGACTCCTATTATTTATACTTCTTGGTATGAAGTTAAGGATTCTGTTAGCTTTATTGCAAACACTAATGCACTGTTGTCTTGGTTTTAGATTACTACTAACTAGAACTCCTAATTCCTTTTCGCAATCCATAATTTTAAGATCTACACTATTTAGTTTATATGTGGCATGGTTATTTTCCTGTCCAACATTTAGAACTTTGCATTTGTCTATGTTAAACTGCATCTGCCACTATTCTATTCAAATCATCCTGGAGTGCTCTATGTCCTCATTAGAATGAATTGGACAGCCTATTTTGGTGTCATCGGCAAATTTGCTTATGTCGCTATTTATTCCCTCATCTATGTCGTTTATATAGATTGTGAACAACAAGGGGCGCAACACTGACCCCTGTGGAACACCACTTGTTACGTGCCACCATTCTGATTTCTCCCCATTTATGCAAACTCTGCTGCCTATTCGTCAACCATGCCTCAACCCAGGAAAAAATTTCTCCTCCTTCAAACTGCAACATCCCTACCTCTCTTTCAGGTTGCAAGCATTGTATTTCTCATTGTCCAGCACTTATGTCTGACTAACTGGTTTGCCTGAATCCCTCTATAAATGATTCTATGCTCGTACTTGAACAGGATGTCAAGCCAATATAACCACTTGCATCCATTCACTCCTGTCTAACATGCTCACACAAGCTTTCTGGATGTACAGGCCTTTTTTTTTGTTTTTGTTTTTGTTTTCAACAAACTGACTGTATCAGGCTGACCTAAAAAGAATAATGAAAGTTTTTCTTTTTAAGTTCACCCTGCCTTGAAGGTTTTTTCTTTTTAAATTTAGTAATTTATACAGGAGAAGGGGTTACTAGCCGCTTGCTCCCTGCATTTTAGTCACCTCTTACAACACACACAGCTTACAGAGGAAGAATTCATTTCCACTTCCCCGTGGAGATGTACAGGCCTCTAGCATGTAAAACCTATTTTACACATTATCCCCCAATTGTTCCTCAGATGACTCCAATCCCTCCTTCCTGCCACCCTAGATTTATATACCCTCCTGATCATATTGTTCTCCACCCTCTAAATGTCCAGACCACCTCAATAACCCCTCTTCACCCCTCTGAATTATACCTTTAGTAACCCCACTCCATCTTCTAATTTCAATATTCCAAATTCTTTGCATAATTTTCGCATCATACATTTTTCTCAGATGTAACACTACCTCTAGCCTCTTCCTCGCTGCAATGTTTAAAGCCGATGTCTCACACTCTTATAAAAAATGCTGGCACTGTACTACTGTAATCTTCTACATCTCTCCTTTTTATGCATCCAGAGATAAACTTCTTAACAAAGATGCCTCTGGAAATCCATCTGTTTACAAACAGTTGTCTTTCTCACATAAAATTTTAGCCATTCTCTTGAACAGCAAATTTCGTATTTATCTTTGATGAGGTTAGATTGTTGTCTGTCAATCAAAATTAACCAAATATAAGATGCCCTAACATTAACAATGCAAAAAAAAAAAAAAAACTGGGAAAAGGACTGACCAATGATCAACTTTTTTTTTTTTTTTTTTGGGGTCAGATTAAAATTACATATATTTCCATTCAGGTGTGTTATATTTAGTGACTTGAGAACAATCCAACCTAACAGAACCTACCCTAAAGAACATCAGTCAGAAATTAGATGGGAGAAAGATGTGTTTTTCATTTTATAAAATAGTATGTCATTTTCCTGGCCACATGTATACTCCTTTCACAAACTGGCTGCATGGTCATGACATTGATTCTCAGTATTGAAGAGAAATGTGCACTGGTCATTTGTTGATTCCTGAAGTGCTAAACAGTTGCCACAGCTTTTATCATCTTTTGAGCTATGGAATTTTATCTTTTATTAGAATATATTCTCTTGTCAGTGTACTCTTGATATGACTTCTGCCATTCCTTGGCATACGTCAGCCCTCAGTCTTCCAGTGGACACATGATATTTCACTGTTTAATATCTTCATTATTTCTTTTAAATACTGTTGCAGTAAGGTTACTAAATACATATATTTTCTTCTTATGCACTCAGTCAGGTGTCCCGTAGCTCAGTTGGTAGCACATTCAGCTCACACATTGAGGTCCGTGGGTCAATCCCCAGTATGGATGGAAACGTTAGGACGTGTTTCCTTAAGACACCTGTTATCCCTGTTCACTTATCTATCAGTAAAAGAGATACCTGGTTGTTAGTCGACTGGTGTGGGTCGCATCTTGGGACAAAATTGACCTAATTTGCCAAAAATGCTCTGCATAACAAGGGACTTTCTATATACAGCTTCTCCTCACTTAACGACAGAGTTCTGTTCCTACTACCGCGTCGGTAAACGAATTCGTCGCTAAACGAGGAGCATACTATAATGGTAGTGGGTTTATGTCAACCGTCTTTGATATTGCTTTGATATTGGATCATTTATAACATGTTTAGTATATTTTTAAATGTTGATATAGTACTGTACTGTATATTGTAATAAACAGAATAGAGAAAATCAGCTGTATTATACGTTATTTAGGTGTGCATACTGGTCAGAGAGCCAGTCGTAAGTCCGAGTTGTTGGTAAATGAGTACATCGCTAAGTGAGGACAGGGAGTAGTAGTATGTCATTGATGTCAGCTATGCCTATATTCCTTGTATATGTACTTGTAGAAATAAAGATTATTATTATTATAATAATAGTAAACCACAGTTTAATATTGTTTGATGAACTAGCAGAATGTAGTTGAACTGACGTGACAAGACAATCATTTAGCATGTCACAATCTCACAATATAATAGGCAGCTATCCTAGATTCTAGGTTTTGTCATTACACAGTATCTTTCCACTTTAAAGTTTATACGTATGTTAAGAGTTGATGTTGTGGTTATACAATTTATTATGGAATAAAACATCACATTTTCTCATACTAAGCTTCATAGCATTATGTATATTTATTTACATATGAAAAGTGAACATACAAGAAACAAAAGAGTGTTTCTCCATATATTAAATTATTTTTTTTCAATGCACTGGCCCTCTCACACCAAGGCAGAGTTACATAAAAAGAAAAATAGAAGTTATTCTTTTGAGGTCACACAAAAGTTTTTCTATTTAATGTAATGAAAAACAAGTTTTTCTTTTTTTACATTTAGTAATTTATGCAGGAGAAGGGGCTACTATACCTTGCTCCCATATATTAAATTACTTTTACTATACTGTATAGTAAAAAATCAGAGGTGGGTGATATTGTTTCTCTCAGAATATTTCCCATTGTTAAAGTACCGTATATATAAAATTTTTGTGTGTTCATTAAAAAGGTCTTTAGAATATTGTATGGTACTGTGAAAATACTTTGAATGAATTTTTAATTTTTGCTTTACAGCGTGAAGAGTCCATGAAGAGACTGCTTGAGTGGAAGCAACGAATGCTGCAGTCCCCGCTGACACGGAAATCCACTTCTCGTCCTGACTCCACTGCTACACCACAACCCCGATCAAATAACGAGGCTTATAGACAACAGGTTTGTATTACAGTGTGTAAAGACATAAAGGAACCTGTGCATTTTGACTTAATAGAGTATCTTTTGTATGATTTCAATGAGACAGGAATATAATATTTAAGTAGTTATTCCAGCACTTCTCTTGAATTGCTAACTTCTTATAGAGTCAGCTTTTCTAAATGTTTTTATGGTAAACCTTCATTTGACAAGACTAATAGGGGGGAAGCGTAGGTGGTCAGCATTGCCAGTTGTGGTGGATAGAGATGAGATTGTTTGCTGTGATTGCAACAGACTTTGTCGTTTGCAAATCCAGATCACACCATACACTTGATACAGTATGGCAGCACATATCTGATCTCTCTTTGCAGTCTAATGAATGTTTCAGAGCTACAAAGCCTTTATCACCCATGTGACTGGATGATAAGGGCTTAGAAAGAAAATTTTAAAATAAAAGAGCTGTGGTTCGTATGTCAGTTTGCATGTGGCCAGCAGTAACAGCCTGGTTGATCAGGCCCTGATCCACCACGAGGCCTGGTCATGGACTGGGCTGCGGGGGTGTTGACCCCCCGGAACATCCCTCCAGGTATATACAGTATGTTAAGTCGAATAACCTGGGAATCCGGCTATACAGAATTTGATGAATGACATAGTGTCTGTGTTTGCAGAGGTTAGAGCAGCAGGAGATGCTGTGGTGATAACTTCCAGTTCATGTGTTGTAGGAATAGATGTAAAGCAGTGTCTTGGTACAGACCTGAAATTAACTTCGACAACCTCTACTAGTGAGAATGGCTGGATTTGAGAGGGACCTGACCTCCCAACGTCTACGTTCTTACCTCTACTAGTGACCTACGTCTCACCTCCTGGCGCAATATAAGGCTCCATCCTATCACTTCAACTCCATATTGTTTCAGACTATGGAACAATACTCTTCTCCAGACTGAGGGACTGACCACCTCAAAACTTCAAGGGTGATGGACTGATTACATCGTCTTCAAGTCTCTTCTGCTTTTATCAACTTTTCTGTACTCGACTGAAGAAGCCTACTGTGTAGGCAAAACATTTCGAAATAAAGATACCTAACTGTTGCATATGTGTCTTACCTAACAACAGATGTAAAGCAGCTGGTGGCTCATTGCATATGAAACCATGTATCTTTGGTTCTTTTGGCTCACTTAAAATAAGGCATGGAGTTGCTGTTTATGTGCATATAAGCCTGTGTCCAACTTTAGCATGCATTTCATGTACAGGAGGGCCCTGCTCATACATCAGGTTGGGTTAGGCTCTGGGCTACTGCTGTAAAGTGAATCAGCCTTTTTTCATTTTCAAATTCATTGGAAAGTTTGATACATGTTTACACTATCATACATTAAATGAGTAATATAGCTAGGCCTAAAAATTGCATATACAGTACACACACATTACTACCTTAAAATATTTTCATTTTTAGCTTATAGTGAGTGGTGAATATATTTATTGTAGAAAGTCTGAATAAATGAAGAATGGGTATAATTGACAACCGCTGTATTAGTAGCGTAACGCTGTAAAGTGAAGAACTGTAATGCAGGGCTTGCCTGTAGTTAGTCATCATAACCTGACTGAAATACTTCAAAATGAACCTGCAGTTTGGAAAGGAAATGTTAGGCAACTTATTTTGGTTTATCATTTTGAAACTTAATAGATGAACTGAAGTACTGAAGATTTTTTTAACACTTTATCGCACAGAGGCAGGGTGACCCGAAAAAGAAGAAACGAAAGATTCTCCTTTTTACATTTAGTAATTTATACAGGAGGAGGGGTTACTAGCCCCTTGCTTCCAGCATTTTAGTTGTGTCTTACAACACACATGGCTTTGGGTGGAAGGAAATATCAAAGATCCTTCTCCAAATTATGAGTTAGTTACAAATTTCATGTAGTGTTATTTGTTTCCTGTATTTGGGCTGATCTTTGATGCCTGAATGTTTCTTGGATCCTGTGTACTTGCACAACATCTTGCAATGTTACACATGGAAATATACAGTAATAACCCACACATAGGAGAAAAACTTTATTATGACATTTTGGTCTGACTTGGACCATTAACCCTTTGACTGTTTCGGTCATATATATACGTCTTATGAGCTACCGTGTTTGACATATACATGTATGTACTCAAAAATTCCAGCGGCTTCAAATAAAGCAGGAGAAAGCTGGTAGGGCCACATGTCAGAGAATGGGTCTGTGGTCAGTGTGCACCATATAAAAAAAAATCCCTGCAGCATGCATTGCATAATGAGAAAAAAAAAACTCCAACAGTGTTTTTGGATTAGTATTGTCATATAGTATTTATGGTTGTATTCTCGTTTTCTTGGTTTCATTTAATAGAATGGAAAACATATAGAAATAGAGGTGATTTTGATTGGTTTTACTATGAAAAGAACCTTGAAATGGAGCTCAAAGTAGAAGAAATGTTTGATTTTTGCCGATGTTGAAGGGTAAACAAATTATGTCATTGTCCAGTAAATGTCCAGCTAGCCATTCTAATATGCAGTCATGAATGGGTTGACATTATTTATACAATTATTACAATATTGCAGGAGTCTGCATAACAGTAAATCTTCTATTTTTTGTTTGAATAAAAATTCAAAATAGAAAGCAAGGGTAATATCAGAAAGAAAATGTTATTTTAGAGCCAGGAATGTCTGCCTTATTCATTCTGAACCCTGTTTTGAAATTGGCATATTTTTTAATTTGCGTGAAATTGGCCAAATTGCAAATTTCTGACCACGTTATTGGGTAGTTGAAATCGGTAAAGGGCAGTTTCTTGTACTCAATCAATAGAACAAATGGAGTTCTAAAGAAATAGCTATGAGTTTGGTCGACTGGAACAATGGAATTAGCCGATAATAGGGCTCAAAGTGGGCGAAATCACCGATTCGTAAATATCGCCAAGGTCACTAACTTCGCAAGAGCGTAATTCCGTAAGTTTTCCATCAAATTTCGTTCTTTTGATGTCATTACCATCAGGAAAAGATTCTCGTTTCATAAGATTTTTTTTTTTTTTTTTTTTTTTTTTTTTTTTTTTAAAGTTTTTTGACACCAAGAGACACCTCAGGATTTGAGGTTGTGACTAGTGTGACTAGTCAAAGGGTTGACTAGTCACACTAACTGTGTATTGTTCCAATCATGGTTTTGTGTATTTGTGTTCTTTATACATGGAAATTTTCCTTCACTTGAGGAACCACTAGGAACTGAAACCATGATAAGGCTGACATTCCCTGGTCTGTTAGGACACACAGTCACACAACTTTCACTCATTGCTCTACTTGCTCTTTTATTTCTTCTACAAGTGATTTTTTTATTATAATATATACAGTATTTTTCTTTCTTTCAACACACCGGCCGTATCCCACCGAGGCGGGGTGACCCAAAAGAAAAAACTAAAATTTCTCCTTTTACATTTAATAATATATACAGGAGAAGGGGTTATTAGCCCCTTGCTCCCGGCATTTTAGTCACCTCTTACGACACGCATGGCTTACGGAGGAAGAATTCTGTTCCATTTCCCCATGGAAAATACATTATTTTATCTTAACAAAACAAGTCAATATTTCTTCATGTTTGCCACTAGCAGCAACAACTTTATTGACCAGACAATCAACAACTAAGTCTTGCCTCAGACTGGCTGTGAGGGTAGATGAACCCTTAAAACAGGTCACATGTATGTCACAGGTAAATTTGTTGGCATTAAGATGCAAGTTACCTTGTCTCTGAGATAAGGCAGATACAAGCAGAATTAAATACTGTAACTCATATTGCAGGTAGTGTTTTTGGGAGTTTCTAAATTTTATTAAATTTCAAATTTTTATTTAGGCTCTTGTGTTCAGTAAAGCAAAACCAAATTTGCATTACCTTTTCTTGGATTACTGCAATTTAAAAAAAGCATTCTCTGTTACTCGGAAATATTACAAACTGTTTAAAAAATTTAAATTAAAGTTCAAAATTTTTGCTCCTGTTCCAAAAATTTTAATTTCAGAGATAATTCTGTATTCAGCATTTTAGAAAACATTCTCTTATTTATAATTTTTTTTTTCCATTTTCCTAAGTACAAAGCAAAAGTCAGAATTTTAGCTGCTACAGTATTTAGAAAAATATACCCTAGTTTTTCTGAGATCAATTAAATTTAAAAAAAAAAATATTTATCATTGGAAAAAAGTTATTTGCTTTTTCCAAAATTGAAACTGAAATTTTAAATTTTCAGTCTTATTCAGAAAATCCTAAATTTTCAATCATAAAAATTTTAAAAAATTGTATTAGTACAGTACTGTGAATTTGGAAGAATTTTGAATAAGAGAGATCAGAGGCTCTCCAAATTTTAATTGCCCGAGTTACCAGCATCTGCACTTACAATCGTGAACATCCAGCTGTTCCTATCTTGTGATTAGTCATACCTACAGACTCACACTTACGGAGGTGCTCGCTAATGAACATCTGTACTCATGAACACCTGTACTTCCAAGCATCAGTTACAAACATACGTGCTTACGAACATCTACACTTACAACTATCTATACTAGCAAACATCTGCATTTAGGAACATCAGTTATGAACATCAGCACTTGTGAACATTAATTACAAACATCCTAACTTTGAACATCGACACTCCAGAACATAAATTATGAACTTCCACAGCTGTAAACTTTTAAACACCAATTAGTAAACATCTGCACTTACAAACATCCATGCTTATGAATCAAGCATTTAAGAACCAGTTAAAGTTTTACAAATGCTAGTGTGCAGTTACAGATATATAAGGTAACCAACCTTTATGCTGCACTTCAGTTTTCTAAAGAAAAATTTGATTCCAAGTTGCAAATGACTCATTTGTACATTGTATAAACAGGAGTGCAATTCACTAGTTGGAGAACCTCTGTATTATATTCCTGTCATTTTCAGTATTTTTTAATTTATTGCAAATTGAGTAATGCAGTAAAAGTATTTCAGATATAATAGGTTTTACTCTCATCCTTCTAAGCTATCATGGGATCATTTGGAACTTAATTAAGCAGTTCTTCAGGTGGACTATGTTAAAGAAATTGTAGGTCAAGGTATTTTGTACTAGAATGAAATAATGATTTTGTTAATGTCTTATAAATTTCCCATACCATCCCAGCACTTCATTCGGAGCAAATAGTACAGCAAATAATAACGGTAATCTTTATCTCTACAACTACAAAATACAACTTATACAGACCTAGCTGACATCAGTTACATACTACATATTTAGAAAGCCCCTTGTTATGCAGAGCATTTCAGGCAAATTAGATTAATTTTGTCCCCAGGATGTGACCCACACCAGTTGGCTAACACCTAGACTGTCTGTATATATCTTTTCTTGAACACATTTTTATCTGACTCATAAAATTATGACATGATTGTAAACAACTCTCCAAACTGAAAGTTTGAGCCCAGGGCAAACCAGTCCTGAAACTGTCAGATCAATGTGCTGACCTGCTAGTTTTAGGACTGGCTTGCTATAGATTCAAACCCTCATTTTGGTGAGATTTTTTTTATCCTTTATATCTTCTTAAAAAGTATCTTCATCATCCTTAACAGGTGCTGAATGAGCTGGTGATCCAAGAAGCCAGAACAAAAGTAATCCAGTGTCATTCACACACTCAAAGCCTTTTACCTGGAATGGAGTCAGGTTTAAATTCACCTGTGGGATCTGTAGTAGGAATTTCTCATGGTTACTCAGGCAGTACAATACCTGCTCCACTCCATGGGTCAGCAAATACCATAGATTGGGTTCCTGGTAATCACACTTCAAATAAAGAACCCTTGAATTATGGTTCAGTGAATCAGGGAGGTTTGAGTGCACCCATTGGGGTGGCAAGTGAGAGGCCTGCCCCACAAGGTGGCTCTTCACACCAAGGGTCAGACAGCAGTAGTACCAAGAGGAGAGAAGGACGAAGAGAAAATTCTAGGACTAGGCATGTCAGTGGCGGGGATTCTCGGAGATCCACTTCAGCTTCACGATACAACAGCTATTCATCAGATGAAGATGGTAAGTACTGCATCAAGTTTGCTGTTATGTGACTTATAATGTACCTGCTCTATATTACATGTTGTATCAGATTTATAATGGTTCTTTTCAATTGTTTGAGCGTATACTGTATTGTGTATTTTTCACAGTATTTGACATACATATTCCACTGGAAGATTTACCCTCAACTATCGCTTTACTAACAGATTATATGTAGGAAACTTACATGTTGGAAAAGCTGTTGGAATGACTGCTTAAGGGCACTTGGTGGTATTTGGTGTCTTCTGTATCTTCTCTGAGATGACAGTGGAATATTTGCATTACCCTAAGATATTAAATTGTCATATATTTCTTTACGTACTTTACTCTTACTGAAATCCCTATACAGTACTGTACCGTAGATCTAATAGTGTTGATATCATCTGTGAACAGTGATTAACTCACTCAGTTAACAGATTCCTTGAAAATCTTTGTGTGAGTTATGAACTGGGGAAATAGAGTTGCATGTTACCGGTGGTTCAGGTTTTGTAATTCATATTATAAAATATCATGATCATGTACAGTAATTAATATATCTGTAATTCCTTTGAACTAACAAAACACATAAAAGATATTCCATTGCAAGTCACTTGACAGCATTCCTTTGATAGCAAATTTATTGCTGTCATATGACAGCTCCCATAATTATTATGGAAGCATTAGTTGCCTGAATTGATTTAGTACTGTAGTTGGTACAGATAAGGATTTTAAATAGCATGTTTATATTTTGCTTTAACTTCCTGGGATATGAATCTTCACTTGAACAAATTTCAGAATTTCTGATCATAGCATGGAAAAAAGTGATTTTACAGTTAATTTTGTCTGGAGGCTGTATGTTAACAATTAATACCCTGTCTGCCAACACCTGAGTGCAGCAGTTTAACCTGGCTCTTTGCTAAGCATGCAAGGGCTGCTTTTGCCTTGGTCATTGTTAATTGTCTTGCTCCTGGATGGACATGCGAGTAATAACTCACTACTCATAGCAGCATGAAGATTTACTAACATAGAAGACTAACCACGGTGCCAAGTTTATTTGGCTGACTGAGATATGGCCCACAGATTTGTTGGAGGAGCGAGAAACCCGTAAAAGGACCCGACGTAACTCTAGAAGAAGCAGTGCAGACCTGAGCCGTGATGGCAAGCGGGTTGGAATTGGCCTAGATGGTCGAGGACGTGACACTGAAGACAGGCATGAAGATTCCAGAGGCTTTTCTAGGGATAACATGAATGAGAACCCAGTTGATCACTATGTACCTCACCAAATATCTCCTCCAGATATAACCACCTCATCTCCAGATTATGTAAACATAAACATTGTAAATGATGCACATGAAGGTAAGCATATCAGTGCTTCCAGGGGCAGTGCAAATGTTGCAGATGTAGAAAATGTGTACAATGAGCGGACAGTGAGCCAAAGAGCTGAGCCAGTTTTTATCGAAAAGCACGAGAGATACGATGAAGTTCGAAAGCAGCATGAACCTCGGCAACAGGAAGCTGAACAAAAATTTTGTGCGTCCAGAAAGTATGAGCAAAGTTATGTGTACAGTGATCAGTTTTATGCAACTAGAGATCCATATTATGTATCTGACGTTCAAATGCCTGCCATGAACGAAAATAAATTTGAAGACATTAAAAGTAATAATAGTCCTGTGAACAGTGGGTTATGCAAGGAATTAAATACTTCATATGAAATGCAGAATTCCTCAAAATTCCAGTCAGACAACAGTTTCTTTAAACAACAAGATAATAGTGAAGAAGTGAGCCCATCAGCAGAGAAGAATAAGAGTTTCCTTCATAAGCCATCAGGGAGGGAAGAGAGTGTTGATAACTCTGTTGCATATACTTCCCATGACTCTCATACAGGCCACAAGACAGACAACGTTAACATACAAGCATCTCAGAGAGGGGGTATACAGGATGACACCACATCCACTGGTAAATACTCTGACAGTGGCTATGATACCCTACGAGCTGAAATGTCTCTTCGCCGAGAAGAAAAAAGAAATGTCAGAGGAGGTTCTCTATGGAATGCGGATAGTTTAGAGAGCAGCCCAGAGTGTTCTAGTGTGGTGCGCCGGCGAGGTTTTGACCATTCTGGAAGAAGACCAGAAACTTGGAGCCCAGAAAAGTTTGATAGATCATGGGGAACAATGGGTTCAGATTTAAAATCAAAAGTAGATGAATCAAAGGTAGTAAAGGAATATAGTTATGAATATATAACCCCAGAAAAGAATCATGAACCATCACCACAGGAGAATTTAATAAATATGTCCAATTCCTTGAAAAAATCTACTCCCATCTTGCCTTCTTTAGAAAGTCCAAAGATAGTGCAGGAAACTCACCATCAAACACAAAGCCAAATAAATTTAGTCCAGGACCGTATCAGGAAATTCACAAACAAAGCTTTGGATACCAAAGAAAATGTGAAAAATTCTGTGGAATTGCATGTGAGCCAAACAAGACATAACGAATCAAAGACTAAACTAGATAATCAAGTGATCAGTGTTGATTCTGTTGAGCATCCAGTTGGCAATATGAAAGAACCACTTAAAGAACCTTTAAAACCAATTTCCCCACATGTTCGAAGTTCAGAAGCACTTGTCTCACCGCTGAAGGCTGAATTTACAACCTCAGAATCTACTATGGTCACTGCCCAAGAGGCACAGGTAAAGAATATTTCTGATTACAAAAGAAGGGAGGAAGTGATTGGGGCTTCACCTTGTGAAGAAAGCCCTTCAACAAGTCTCAGGTATAACTCAAATTCAGAACCTTCAAGTGTAGAATATAGAGAGCTTAGAAGTCCTCAGGATATCATGGACTCAAGGCTGAGCCGAACAAATATTAGAAAATTTTTGTTTGACGACGATAACAAGCCCCAGGAAATAAAACAAGATGAGCATCCAGTTATCCCTGTGAAGCCTCCTCTTATGAAGAAACCAGTTCAGTCACATTCGGTGAAGGCTCTTCTCAAGAACTTTGAAGAAAGGTCAATAGAACACATGGAAAGAGTTAACATGAACCAAGATTTGTCCAGAAAGAAGTTTCACAGTGATTCAGAAATGTTATCAAATGAAAGTTCAAGTGATGAAGGGCAAAATGAAGATCTTTACACCACTGTTCAGAGAAGATAGCAGTGTCATCCACTTCATCTGTTTTGGCTGAATTACGCAAGTCTGCCAATAAAAAAGATGAAGTGGTCCCTCTTGTTCCCCCGCCTAGACCACCAAAGAAACCAACTTTAGGAGGAGACATGGACACAGTTGTTGCTCCTGGATATTTAAGATTGAGTTTGGCAGAGTCAATACAGGAGTCTCTTAAAGTCCAGGAGGATAGTGAAAGCGGAGGTGAGGAGCATAGTTGGATAGACAGTTCTCTTAATAGTGAACATGGAAAGCATAACTTCCCACCTCCAGACAATAAGTTTGTCATTATTGACCTTGATAAGCCTCCTGAAGAGGAGGCCCCTCCACCTCCAATATATCTTCCTTCGAGTGACCATCAGAGCTCTTTAATGCGACCTAATCCCTATGCTGAAGAAAATTACTTGCCCATGAGCCCTCCTAAGAAACTTGGTCAGGGATCAAGCATCCTTGCCCCTGCTAGCTCATGCAGTAGTCTAAGCAGTAAGCACCTCCCGACACCAGAACCTATATATCCTGATGCCTTTGCAAAAACTGAATACGAAGAACACACATATATTGAGATGAGTGGAGACACATCTTCAAACAGTGCCTCAGTCCTCGCTTCAGGTGCTCCTCGACTTGACTTCAACCGAATTGCTGGTGAGCAGATGTTTGCTCCAGAAAGCCCAAGGTATTATGAAATTGGTGATAAAGATGAGCCTCAGCATTATGAATATATATACAAAGGGCAGTCTCATTATGAAGCTATATATATGGAGGTTCCAAATTCTGAAAAAGATGGACCCATGGAAGATGAAAAACCACAGATCCCAGATAAACCTGATGATCTAAAAGCACAGTCAAGTACTGACAAACCCTTTGTATCAGATACTGCTTTAAACTCTTCACTCAGCAAATTAGATCTGAAATCTCAGTCCAATGCTTCTTCTGATGCAGATGATGAGGCCTCTAAGGACCTGGACAGTCTAGAGCCTCCTCGCAACCCACGCTTTAGCCTATCGGATACTTTCAGACCAGCATCATATTATTTGAGTGGGGCAGAGCCATCCAGTGATCCAGATGCCCAGGACTCATCTGATTCTGACCTTGTTCCACCTCCTCCAATACCATTGAGCCCACCACCAATGGAAGAGCTAGATAGTGGAGGTGGCCCAAAAGCTAAGAACTTTGACTTTGAAAATCTAGAAACCCCAGATCCTCCACCACACTTACGAAATGCTCTGAGCTCTTCAAGATCATTGAGGATTAGCCAGAGCAGTCTTCGAGAAGACCTGAACTCTTCAAGGTCTTCAGTTGGAAAGGACAGACGAATATATGAAAAATCTGACTCTTCAGTCAGTCTTCACCCAGATAAACTGAAGAGAAGACCTGTATTTGAAGAAACTCTTGAGAGCCTCCATGATGATGATAGCTTTATCTTGAGATCTGAGGATAGATACCCAGCATCAGCAGCATACCCTGGAGATTATACTTTACCTGGAGCAGATAAAAAATTCCAGAGAGACAGACGGAAACCCTTCCCTCAATGTGCTGAAGATATTATTCTTCCAGGAGACAAACATGAACCCTCGGCCAGACCAAAATCTGCTTTGGATCATAATTCCTCCTTCCAGAACAATTTAGATACTTCATATTCTTCCAGCAAAATTGAAAATCCTTATGTGAATGAAGGGTTTCAGCACAATGCTCGACCACTTATCACATCATGTCAGAATGCCCCTATTGGAAGAGAGTATTGCAATGTTCCTCAGAATTCCAAAATGTTCTCACAACCAGAGAGAGAGAGATCAAACTCCACTGGATCACGACCAAAATCTCCTGATCCTTATGCAGAACGCAATGAGGTGTCCACTTACCAAAATGTTCCTGCACCTAGAACATCCTTATTGAGGAGGAGTTCTCCCCAGCTGATGTCAATCAATAATGAACCAACTGGATCACCAATGATTGATGCACTTCGTGGAGTACACACCCCTGTGGCCCAGCTGAATGTAAGTCATCAGCGAACATCTTCAGAAACATCATCCCGGAGTGTGGTGAGTCCAACAGCGAGTGTCATTTCAAGTGGTAGCAACATGGCCCCGGTCCACTTGAGAGCAACTTCTAATGCCTCTGTGGGCAGTGAGACCAGTCCACGCTCTGCACCTTACTACTACTCTGATGTAATTCGTGACGATGGGGCAGCATTAGCAGAGGGAATAGTAGGTACTCCTCGCTCTCGATCTTATCAGTTGAATAATCAGCGTGATCTTGAGGCAAACAAGCGGCAAGACATTGGAAGAAAAGTAAATCAGATCACTAGTGCTTCAGATTTTGAACAAAGAAGGGAAAGATTGGCTCATGAACTGAGAACGTCCGTCAGAGTTTCTTGAGGGCAAGACAGTCTCTTCCCCTGATGAACGTAACGTGTATGACTCTGATACACTTAGAAAAATGAAACGACGTGCATATACTCCAGATCCAGACCTAGATGCCAAAAATGTTTTTCCCCATGGGCTGTCAATTAAAACAGATAGTCCTACTTTAGGTCCTCCTGTAGGCCATCGTAGAACCCGGTCTTTGGAGGGTCTTCTAGACGAACCACCTCGGTCATTTGTGGGAGGGGCCAGTAATGTGTCGGCTGCTTTAGAGAAGAAGCAGGTATGTACTGGCAGTCCATCTCAGGCATCAAACTGGACAAAGACAGCAGGACCACAGATTGCTTTTGCTGCACCACATAGTGTGAGGGGAAGTCCAAATAGTTGTCTTAGTGCTAATCCTTCCTCACAACCAACACTTACCTCTCAGCGTGGGGCATTCTCTCAGTTGACTAGTCAACGAGCTTCTGTTAGCAGTCTCCACAGCAGTGGAAGTGTGCCTCAGAGAGCCACCTCTCCTTATGCACCATCACCCTTGCCATTGCCTCCTATGCCATACCAAGTGAGCAAACGTGATAGTCTTGTGAGTAAAGAAAGTTCTGCCAGTCGTGTCTCCTATCATGATTCACAAAGTGCCCACGAGCTGCACATTCCTGCCAATCATGACACTTTGATTGAGGAGCAGGACTGGGAAGATGACAGTCAGTGGCGCGAGCAACTTCGGCGTGCCTCTCTAAGACATACCCGATCCCTTGAAACCCTAGATGAAAGTCGACCAAGACGGTCAAGTGACGGCAGTAACTATGAAGGGCGCCCACCTGCCAGATTAAGTGTGCCTAACAACCCATCTCAAGTTGCAGAAGACACAAACCAACAGCGACTACAACAACTACACTTAGACGAATACACAGTGGACTATCGAGAGGGTCGTGTTCATTCCAACCAGTACAGAAACAGTGGCGGCCTACACTCTGAAACTCTTGAGAGAACCCAAAGAGGCCTTACATGTTTAGAAGGTTATGAGTGGGACGAAGCTGAAGAAAAATTCAAGAAGCCAAGTCCAGCGGGGCGTATCCAGCAGCCACTGCCACATCAGCCACCTAGCAACTTGCCACACCAGCCTTTTTTAGCCGACGGCCTCCCGCCTTCACCCGAGACAGAACGCGAGGACCAGTGTCAGTGCCAACAGAGCCCTGCGCTGCCCCCCGCCCCCGCCCCGCCCTCTCCATGCCCGCAACTGCAGCCTTTTTTAGTGAGCGGCGGTGAGGGCCTGGATGTGTCCTCGGGGGTAGGAGGGAGGCCCCCTGGTGAAGTCGAGGGGCAGCCTGAAGAGTTGGTTGAATCACCCATGGTGTCTCCTCCACCAGGCTGCACATCCTCCACCATCATCACTCATCCTGCACCTGATGTCATCCCAGCACAAGGTAAGTACTGCATCTCAAATACTCTTTAATATTTTTTCTTATTGTAAAAGAAGGTCTTCAGTTTAGCATATATTATTATTATATTGTGTTCCATATTGTATCAAGATAAGCTGCAAGTGCTAATGTACAACAACGGTTGACTCCAGTAGTACAAGAATACCCCAGTCATTCTTGCACTAAGTTCTACATTTATGTTTAATAAATATAGTGCCAGATGTTCAGTGAGAGTCTTCTCCATAATTCAGAATCTTTGTTGGTATGTTGTATGTGGGAGTCAATTTGCTGTGTGAAGCAAAATACAGTGTAAACTCTGGATGATTTTTTCATCATTAGTGTACCGAATAGTACGCAGTATTTCTAATAACTTTTTTCTATAGAATTTTATTTTGTGTGTGTGTGTGTGTGTGTGTGTGTGTGTGTGTGTGTGTGTGTGTGTGTGTGTGTGTGTGTGTGTGTAATTAAGGAAGTTATATATAAATACGAGTGTTTGAACACTAATTGTAATGTTAAGGTAATATGTTTACAAGAGAATGCTCTTAAATTTGTCTGTTTGTTTATGGTTTTGACAAATATTCGATGACTGTCATAGTAGAGATACACAGAGTGAGTAGAGGTTCCAAATACCACCAGTGGTGTGACCAGCGCCCATATAAGAAATGTACCAACCCTGGAGAAAGTCTAAGCACATTGAGGCAGTATTATAGTCAGGTTCTCAACCTTGATCGATTGTAAAATAGATTCCTCAGTAATATAAAGCATAAAGCATAAATTTTGCTTCATAATGGTAAAGTCAGCTCTGATAATGTAATAGTAATGGAAGACAGGATGGTGAGTACCAGTCTTTAGCATATAATACTGGGTATGTGTTAAAGAGTTTAAAAGGTAATGTAAGAAGTCACCAAGTTGTGTTTGCGTGGGTGAGCACTCAGCTCCTGGTCCGGCTTTCTAGATCACTGAGTTCTGGTCTCGGGGGTCTTAAAATATCTGCTCTTGAAGATGTATATTTGAGTTTGCCTCCGCCACTACTTCATCCAAGTCATTCCAATTCTCAACCACCCTGAGACTAATGAAATATTTCCTTAACGTCCCTTTGGCTAATCCATGTCAAGTGTGTGTGTGCTTGTACTCACTTTATTGTGGTTGCAGGTGTCGATTCTTAGCTCCTGGCCCCGCCTCTGATGGCCGCTACTGGGTTTATTCTGGCTGCGTGAGCCTTTAAAGCTGTTTATGGATTCTGCCTCTGCCACTTTGCTGCCTAAGTCGTTCGTTCCACTTCCTGACCATTCAAGACTAAAGAAGTACTTCTTAATATACCTGTGACTCACTTGTGCTTTTAGCTTGAGCTGCGCCCTCATGTATCTGAGACCTGCCTCTCAGACACTTCTTCGCCCTGTCACTTCCTCTCTGTCTTGTACATCGTAATCTTGTCACCTCTGGTCCTTCTGTCCTCTGTCGTCAGGTTTAGCTTCTCTAGCTTCTCTTCATGGTTCATATCCTCAGCCCTGGGACTAGTTTCGTTGCAAACCTTTGCACATTTTTCCGGCTTCTTTGCGTGCTTTACAAGAAGCGGGTTCCATACTGGTGCTGCATACTCCAAGATAGGCCTGGTATATGCCGTGTATAGGGTGATGAATGCCCCCTTGTTGATGTTCCTGTAAGTTATCCTTGAATTTGCCGGTTCCGCATTTGCTGCGGTGGTTATTCGGTCGATATGTACCCTCAAGTCTGTAGCATCATTTCCCCAAATCTGTGCTCTGTGTCCATTCTTCTTGCCCCTTCACCGATCTTCATCACCTTGCATTTGCCAGGATTGAATTCGTACTCACCTATATGTGGTTTCAGGGATCAATCCACAGCTCCTGGCTTCATCTCTTCACTGGTCGCTAGTAGGTCCACTCTCTCTCTCCCTGCTCTAAGAGCTTTATCGTGTGTGTGTGTGTGTGTGTGTGTGTGTGTGTGTGTGTGTGTGTGTGTGTGTGTGTGTGTGTGTGTGTGTGTGTGTGTGTGTGCGTGCGCGCGCGCGCGTGTTAGTTACCATTTGTTCCTAGGCACATGTCGATTAGACACTAGGCCTGTTGTGTGTGTGCATGTGTGCACGCGTGTGTGTTAGTTACCAGTTATCAAAGTCATTTGTCGATAAACAATGTGTGTGTGTGTGTGTGTGTGTGTGTGTACTCACCTAGTTGAGGTTGCAGGGGTCGAGTCCAAGCTCCTGGCCCCGCCTCTTCACTGGTCGCTACTAGGTCACTCTCCCTGAACCATGAGCTTTATCATACCTCTGCTTAAAGCTATGTATGGATCCTGCCTCCACTACATCGCTTCCCAAACTATTCCACTTCCTGACTAATCTGTGGCTGAAGAAATACTTCCTAACATCCCTGTGATTCATCTGTGTCTTCAACTTCCAACTGTGTCCCCTTGTTTCTGTGTCCCATCTCTGGAACATCCTGTCTTTGTCCACCTTGTCAATTCCTCTCAGTATTTTGTATGTCGTTATCATGTCCCCCCTATCTCCTGTCCTCCAGTGTCGTCAGGTTGATTTCCCTTAACCTCTCCTCGTAGGACGTACCCCTTAGCTCTGGGACTAGTCTTGTTGCAAACCTTTGCACTTTCTCTAGTTTACATGCTTGGCTAGGTGTGGTTCCAAACTGGTGCCGCATACTCCAATATGGGCCTAACGTACACGGTGTACAGGGTCCTGAACGATTCCTTATTAAGATGCCGGAATGCTGTTCTGAGGTTTGCTAGGCGCCCATATGCTGCAGCAATTATTTGGTTGATGTGCGCTTCAGGAGATGTGCCTGGTGTTATACTCACCCCAAGATCTTTTTCCTTGAGTGAGGTTTGTAGTCTCTGGCCCCCTAGACTGTACTCCGTCTGCGGTCTTATTTGCCCTTCCCCAATCTTCATGACGTTGCACTTGGTAGGGTTGAACTCCAGGAGCCAATTGCTGGACCAGGTCTGCAGCCTGTCTAGATCCCTTTGTAGTTCTGCCTGGTCTTCGATCGAATGAATTCTTCTCACCAACTTCACGTCATCTGCAAACAGGGACACCTCGGAGTCTATTCCTTCCGTCATTGTGTGTATGTGTGTGTGTGTGTGTGTGTGTGTGTGTTGTGTGTGTGTGTGTGTACTCACCTAGTTGAGGTTGCAGGGGTCGAGTCTAAGCTCCTGGCCCCCGCCTCTTCACTGGTCGCTACTAGGTCACTCTCCCTGAACCGTGAGCTTTATCATACCTCTGCTTAAAGCCATGTATGGATCCTGCCTCCACTACATCGCTTCCCAAACTATTCCACTTCCTGACTACTCTGTGGCTGAAGAAATACTTCCTAACACCCCTGTGATTCATCTGTGTCTTCAACTTCCAACTGTGTCCCCTTGTTGCTGTGTCCCATCTCTGGAACATCCTGTCTTTGTTCACCTTGTCAATTCCTTTCAGTATTTTGTATGTCGTTATCATGTCCCCCCTATCTCTCCTGTCCTCCAGTGTCGTGTGTGTGTGTGTGTGTGTGTGTGTGTGTGTGTACTCACCTAATTGTGGTTGCAGGGGTCGAGACTCAGCTCCTGGCCCCGCCTCTTCACTGATCGCTACTGGGTCCTCTCTCTCTCTGCTTCCTGAGCTTTATCATACCTCTTCTTAAAACTATGTATGGTTCCTGCCTCCACTACTTCACTTGCTAGGCTGTTCCACTGGCTGACAACTCTATGACTGAAGAAATACTTCCTAACGTCCCTGTGACTCGTCTGAGTCTTCAGCTTCCAGTTGTGACCCATTGTCCCTGTGTCCCCTCTCCGGAACATCCTATCTCTGTCCACCTTGTCTATTCCCCGCAGTATCTTGTATGTCGTTATCATGTCTCCCCTGACCCTTCTGTGTGTGTGTGTGTTTGTGTTACCTGACACTGTATGGGAGAACTCTATATCAAGCTTAATAGGAGGAAACTCGGGAGAAAAATCACTTTTTGCTCCCGGTTCACTGACGCCAGCTCTAAAATGATTGTATTTGTCCTCACTAGGATGATGGTGTATGTTTGCCCCCTCTGGGATGATAGTTTACGGTTGTCGTCTCTAAGATGATAGTATATGTGTGTTTCCTTTAGTTAGGATGATATATGGTGGATTATCACATTATATCACACTTGTTAATCGTTTGAAAATTCACTCCAATAAAAAAAGGCCCCCCCCCCCAAAAAAAAAAAAAAAAAAAATTGATATTTCAGTTGTTACTTTGGTATCTTCCTCAGTACAGAAAAAGTATAAACGGAGTGGGATAGAAAATCATATATATATATATATATATATATATATATATATATATATATATATATATATATATATATATATATATATATATATATATATATATATACTGATCTCTGGCCGAAGGAGACTCGAAGCTACGAACCCTGGAACAAGCTTGCGCTAGACGTTTGATCCAAGGCAGCCAGCTTTTAGGGAGAAGGCTTACAGCTTTTCATCTCATCCCCTGCATGCATCAGCCTTACTAGAGATTTTAACAATGCAGGGAATTCGCCTTACTAGAGATTTTAACAATGCAGGGAATTCGTCTAGCGCAAGCTGGACGCCAAGGTATTGGTCCATTGTGGTGAGAATGGTAAGGCACTGCGTACCTTGTTCCAAGGTTCGTAGGTTCGAGTCTCCTTCGGCCAGAGATCAGTGTTTGTGTACATTTCGCCTGCTCTTGTGAATTCCTTGCATATATATATATATATATATTTTATATATATATATATATATATATATATATATATATATATATATATATATGCAAAACAACCACTGTGAAAGAGTAGTGAAATTCCTTGACAATGTGAGTAGTCACGAAAGCGCTTGGAATTTCACTACTCTTTCACAGTGGTTGTTTTGCATATTTTAAAAACACCTGTTTACTGTGATCTTATTGCATATATATATATATATATATATATATATATATATATATATATATATATATATATATATATGTATTCAGATATTTG